GGCTCKCTCTCTCTCCACTTTCAGCCTCTACTTCAGTGGATATTACCATTTTCATTACTGGTAAAAGGACTGTTTCCTTTTCAAAATTGCTAGAAGGTTCTTTATCTTACCTCTAAGCAGTATGTATGAGGCCTTAAATCTTCAAAGGGGTCTTGACTGATAAAGGAAGCATTTTGCAGAGAAAGTCCCCTTTGTTGGTGCATAGGTTTGGTGCTTGCTGAAACTCGGGATTGGCCTTGCTGTGCAGCATAATTAGGAGCACCAAATAGAAGCCATCAGTGCACTCAAGGGTCACAAAACCTTTGGGATGGGAAGTCTCTATGACTGAATGGCACTTTTTCCCAAAGGAACTTGCACAGGACAAAGGAGTTTGACACTGTTCTTGGGTGTGTGATGGATTTTTTTTTTTTTTTTTGCCAGGACTGATAGGAAGTATGTATCTTGAGATTTCCATGTGGTAAAGATAGCTTCTTCACATTCTTACAGCATGCAACCAGGTCACTGAAATTGCGTGGCCTAAAGCTTTGGTCCCCTTCTCTGTTGACTTCCCAATCTCTCCTCTAACCTGCAGAAAAAAACACAGGACTGTCAAGCCTGAGCAAGTGAATCCCTTCATCTGTTGGCCCAGACACTGGCCCAGGGAGGGCAAGGGGCTTTTCATAGCTTCAGAGTTTGCTAGTGGTAGGTTGAACCCAGGTCCTTGTGCAGAAATATCTTTTGGAGCCACCCAGTCATTATATCCCATCAGGATGATGAGATAGGTGGGGTACACAAAGCCCTTGATAAATGCTTAACATAGAATATTGTTTATTGCTAAGATAGTTGGGGTCCAGAGCTCCTTTATCCACACAGGGTCACATTACTTGAGGCTTATATCCCTTTGAAGATGGGAACTGTCCCTCATTAATCATAAGAGTACTACTTACCGGAAACCAAACAAGTGCCAGACAAACATTTTTCTACTTTAGTTTTCAGCAAATGCTGAGTATTTACTATGCCAGCTACTGTTATAAACACTTTATGTAGAATATCCATTTCTCACAATAAGCCTGAAAGGGAAATACCATTGCAATCCCTGTTTTGCATATGAGAGGACCGTGGCCCAGAGAGGRTAAAGAACTTGTCCAAGATCGTATAAGGGCTAGAGCTAGAACTTACACCCAGGCCCTTGCAATATATGTGTTCCACTTTATACTAATCATCCCCAGCATATTCCACCAGTGTGTCCATTTGTTCACCTCAGTCGGTACTTAGTATTTGCTCTATCCTGGTCCCTGGCACAGAAGAGTCATGGCAGATGTCCCTGGCTTTAGGTCCTAACTAGGTCACCCAGCCTTGGACTTGGTCTACCTTCTAGTTTACCGTGATGCCCTCAAGGTAACTTGGGGGTTGCTGCTACCTTTTYTTCCCCTCTCTTTACCTTCTGAACCCTAACTTCTTTGTCTCATTCCCAAGGCCTACTGTGTCAGCCCCCCCCTGCCATACCTACTGGGCTTATCTCCTTCAAGGCTGACTTCCTGTCTGTCATCTAATGAACTCACCATTCAGTTGCAGTGGCTGCTGTATTCATTTGACACTTGTTGCAGTCAGCCTCAGGCAGTTGCTATAAAATAAGAGGTTTGCTCCCTTTGGGACTGAGATAGCCCTGACTTTCAATCCAGCCTCTGACATTTACTTGCTGAGAGGCTTGAAGCTAATCAAGCTCTACCTTCAGTTAGCTCAACTGTGAAACTGGGTTTCATAATAGCCCCGAGGTGAGGGCTGAATAAGAATGGGTAATGGAACCACATACCTGGCTGGCAAGGGACAACAATAATTGGTAGCAGTTGTTAGCATGGCTAATGGCCCTTGCACGACTAACCTATGAATTTGCATCCATTTCCTATGTTCCTTAGAAGATAAATCCCCTTCCAGGACCAGAACCAAATGTTGAAGAGCAGAACCACATCTTAGGCCTACACTCTATCCTAGTTTGCTGTTCTGAATGGAAGAAGAGCCAGCCACAGCTGGCAACCCTACTGTCATATCTTGAAGTCCTGCTCTGGACTAGGCTTTGTGCCTAGGTACCCTGGATGTTCAGGTGAATAGGACACTGCAGACTCTTCCTTCTCTTATGGGACAGGTAGACATCTGAAGGTCCCTGTATTCGTAGCCAGTATCCTCCCACTTGAGGAGAGACTGGGCCTTCAGTCTGAATGGAAAGGGAGTGRGTCTGGCCTTAGGCCTCAGGATCAAGGGCTCTGGGCACAGATGCCCAGAGGAGGAGGCTGGGGAAGGGGTAAGGTGTGTGCTCCCTTTGCTGGGGCAGGGAAATGTCTGCCCACTTCTGGCCATTCTGGGGCTTTGTTCCTATCTGTGGCTATAGAGAGTTTGCATTTTGGGGTTGTAATTCAGGTTGATGTGGAAGGGGCTGGGGGAAGTGGGGGGAGGATTGAATGCCTCTTGAATTTCCCAGTGCTCTATTGAAGCAGGAAGCCTGGACTGATGAGCTCCATGGCTAGAACCCTCTAGTCCTGACTTGGTCCGTGCCAGGACCAAGATTGAAAGTCTGAATCTTGAGGTGGGCCTCACTGGGGCCGAGAAGAGCTTCAGCAATGGGAGGTTGAGCCCAGCAGTTCTTGTAACATTGGGATTCCTTGTGGGGTCACTTCTCCTTCCTTGTCCTAGGAGTGAGTGGAGCCCCAGCCTGGCCTTGGGRAAATGCAGGGCCTACACTAAGGTCTCAGGTCACCTGTGGAGTGAGACTGGGGGCAGGGGCATCTGGAGGACCTGGGGCTGTGTCTGAGGGGTATGGGGGAGGAGGGGGGCACAGCTAATGGGAAGCAGGTGGAAGGGCTGCCCCTGACCCAGCCAGGGGACAGGCGGCTGAGATGGCCCAGTCAGTGGGAGGACCCGTCAGCTCACAGATAATCCCATGGAACAGGCTCCGGGATACCCATTCATATTCATTATGTGTGAAGTGGGCGGTTGTAAAGTTAGCTTTCTCTTCATTTAGCTGTCACTGGACAGAAAAATATGAGCTGTGGGCAGATGCCCCTGGATGGGAGCCAGTAGCTGGTCTATGGCCTCCCTGTGCCCTTCCCCAGCAGGTCTCCCCCCAACATGGGCCCTCTCCGGCCTTTGCCTCTGGCCTCTCCCTGCCTCTATACCACTCTTGCTGCCTGTATCTCAGGCTTGACTTTCCTTCTCCTGTCTTGTTTCCACTTCAGCTTCCTTTGCTTAAGTTTCACAGATTCCTTCTTTCTCCCTCCCTCCATCTTTCTAAGTTGAGAAAGAAGGAAACATGTTTTTCTCAATCCTTGTCTCTGGCACATAGTTACAAGCACAGAGTAGAACCTCAGCAATTGTTTTAGAACAAACCAACTTCTTTACAGTTCTCGTTTTTGTGGAGCAAAAGCTCCAAACCTTTGCTGACCACTCTGTGGGTGAAGAAACTTCTAGTGCAGTGGTGTGGGCCCTGGAGTCAGGTGGAGGCTCAAGCCTCAGTTCTACTACTGACCAGTGGGTGAAGGTCTAGGAGGCTCATTGAGGTAGCTGGGGGACCTCTCCCTCCTGTCCTGACTCCACCCTTTCTGATCAGCCCCTCCTACTGTTGGTATCTGGACAGAGGAAAGAAGTCACCAGTAGCTAGGGAGAAGAGGGAAGACATTGGCTCTGGCTCCTCTAGGGATGTGTGGCTTCTTCACAGTGACTTTCTGGGCTGGGAAATCCGATCTCATGGGGATACTTGCTCCCTGTTTGGGAATAGGCACAGCACTCATGTGTCTGCGTGCTTGGGTTTCTCTGTGCCTGAAAGATGAGGCGTGGGGTGGGGGTCGCTGGGCTGTGTCTGAGGTGGAATTCTTCTGAGCAATGTGGTTGTGTTTACTGGGAGGGTAGGAGGGCCAGGCTTGCTTTTTTCCTGCCTTTCAGGCTTCAGAGATAAGGCAGAAAGTGGGGATGAAGGATAGAATGGGTAATACTCTGAAACCACAAGAAAGAGTTCTGGCTTTTGTCTCCGCCCCACAGCTCAGGCGTGCTTCTGGGGCATCTGGGAGAGGCAGTTGCCCCACCCCCAGCACTCTGGGGTCCCAGACCCCAGGAGCTCAGAGCCTTTGGTGGGCACCCTGTTCTTTCATTCTCCCCTCCATTGTCAGTTCCAGCACAAACTCAAGCTTTTTGCTTCTTTCCAATGCCCAAATTTCCTGCCTCCCAGCACCCACTGAAGCCCCAAGAGACCCTGTGCAGGTAACAGGGCCTAGCATGCCATTCATCATTCCTGAGGGCTCTGCAGCAGGCCCACATTCCCCTGAGCTCCGGAATCCTTGGTGGCCCATCGGGATCCTAGACACAAACCAGTCCAAGAGCAAGTGAGTGCCAAGCCCTGGGGATACACAGTCCCCTCATATAAAAACACCACCATTTTTATCACAATGCAGGGCAACACTTGTTTTGTTTACAAAAGTATCTTTACAAAAATGAGGGTTAGAATCCCAGGGGCTCCGAGACTATAGAAATGTTTGAATCTGATCTACATCTAACACGGCTTCCATGGCCTAGCCTGGTCTGGTCCCATGGAAGTGAATCCAAATATTTGGTGGTTTCTGGAGGAATTTCTGCCCTTTGGAGGAGATGACTGCATAGCATGTTGGCAGATCGGGCACAGGGCAGGAGTAAGGATGGCTGGAGCAGAGGAGACCACACCATTCATGCTGTCCTCCAAGCCAGACACTGGGTGCATGCCCCTCGGTGGTGGGAGAAGTGAGGCCAACCCTCGACTCTGGTTTCCCCTTTGTCATAAACCAAACTCTTTGGTTTCCCCTGTGTAACAAAGAGTTCCTCCCAGTTCAATTTGTCTTCTCCCCTTTTCCTGGGCTCCCTGAATGAAGAGTTGGGCCTTTTTAGCTGGAAAGGCAACAGCTGGACTTGGGCAGTCTGGAGTAGGCAGGGCAATGTCCCTCCCTCCAGTCCAGTTTGAATGAAAGGACTTTTGTAACAGGAAGGATCCTGTCTGCTTAGAAACCCCTTTCTCCTAAACAGTCCTAAAGGAAAGACCCTATTGCATGTTTCCTGCCAGGGCTGAGGGTCCCTGCTGCTCTCCCGAGTCCCCTGGAGGCAGAYGTGTGTGCTCTCTGGTGTCCAGGCAGGGTGGGCCCAGAGCAGCTCAGAACATAAATGGGGGTGGGCAGCTCAGTTACATGTCAATGCCACCCATCACGTGGTCCAGTTCAGCAGGCTGGGCGGCTCCTTGGGCTTCACCCTGAGTGAGACGAGACTTGGAGACTTGTAGTCACCATCCGGAGAGGGCTCAAAGCTGTGGCCCCCCAGGGCAGGTGGAAAGCTGTGGATGGAGTAGATGCCAGGGTGGGCTGCAGGGGAGGCTGGCATCCCCATGAAGCCAGCCACATTCCCATGGGAGTGGGAGTATGGGGACATGCATGGGGAAGGAATGCCCTCCGGAGAGACGAGGCAAGGGCCTCCTGGGCTCCCGGGCCCTGGACTGGGCCACAGGGAGCTCTGCAGCTGAAAAGAGAGGGAAAAGGAAGGCCATGAGCCAGCAGCCCTGGGGAGCTGCCTGCCTTCCCTAGTCATTCTCCCTTTGTCCTGAGGCCCCAGAATCTTCATAAGAATCATCCATTTGGCCTAGAGCTGCCACCTCTAACCACCACCCCCACTGGCATCCAGAGGCCCACCACTGCTTCTCAAAACAAAGCTTCCTTCTATGATTCCTTGTGATCTTCAGGTGTCACTCAGGGGGCAAGAGCTGATTTGCAGAGGAAGTTAAGGGGTTTGCTCAAGTCACACAGGGCCCTGATGCTATTCCAGGTCTCTGTGGGCCAGAGCTCATGTTCTCTCTGGTGACCCCACCAGGCCCTGACTTGAGGGGGGCTAGGATCTCACCTGGGGGTGACTGTCAGTGCGGGGCAGCACAGAGATGTCATAGGCAGCTGTGAAGGGGTTCCGCCCCTCCTGCATCTTCCCATAACGCTCGCGCTTCCGCCACTTGGCTCTGCGATTCTGGAACCAGACCTGGGGATAGGTTGGGGAGGATTGAGGGAGTGCTATAGCAACCCTTAGGAGCCTGCTGGGGAGAGAGCTGATGGYTGTGTCCTGTAGARTGGGAGCTGGCTCCAGGCTGGAGGATCTGGAACTGTGGAACTGTGGGGGCTTGTGAGTCCACACTGTCTTCAGGGCCAGGGCCAGGGCCAAGCCTAGAGAGGTTTACTGACCCCATAGGCCCTCAGCTAACATTCCCCATGCTGAATTACTCTTTAGTTCTCCAGCCGGGCTGTGTCTGGTCAGGGCACATGGTGGGTTTGTGGACCTCAGAGTCCCAGGGCACTTCCTAGTGTTCCAGTGCAACGGTTTCGGAGTTCTAGTCTCCCTGCCTGTTTTCCTTTTCCATCTACCCACCTGGCAGCATCCAAGGAATCATAAAGACATTCTTGGTCAGGTCATGGTCTTATTTAAACTCTCAGTGGCTTGCTAGAGAGTTTGGCTCAGAACCTAGCTCTTTAACAAGACCCTTTAGGACTGGCCCCTGCCCACTCCACAACCTCTAGTCCTGCCAGGCAAGAGCACTGAGTTCTTCTTACTTGTCTCCTTATTGGCCATAGCCCTCCTTCAAGACACTCAGAGATCTTACTCCTTGCCAATTTGGCTAAGGTTTTGCCTACCTGGGTTACCTGCCTCCCCAGAACATATTCAGGCTAGGCACCTCTATCTGCCCTTTCTCATCATGCTCTCCAAATTCTGTGACCATAATCTTGGGAATCTCTCTCCCATTCATTTGTGAGCTCTCAGTAGGGGTGGCATATCTGTGTTGTGCAYATCTATATTTGAGATGAATTTGTTGTTGAGTCCGTATACTGTTGCATGTATTATTGTATGTATTTTTTTACTTCTGTAATTTAACAGATATTTATGTGTCAAAGCTTGGGTTAGATGTTGATAATATCAAAACAAAACCAAACAAATAACTCTGTGTGTGTGTGTGTGTGTGTGTGTGTGTGTGTGTGTGTGTGTAACCCAACTATCTGGGCTGAGATGAGAAATTCCCCAATCCTCACACTCCCCACCCTCCTCTCCATGGTCATTCTTCCTCATGAAGGCAGGCAGGGCCCTGATAGTTAAGAGACTGTCCATAGCTCTAATCCCCTCACTCCCAGGTTGCAGAGATTCCCAGAACAGGCCTGGCCCAGGTCAGAAAAGGCCAGTTGCCTGCCCATCTGCCTGGATTTCCTTTGTCCACTCTCCCTCCTCTGCAGGCGAATAAAGAAGGCTGGAGCCAGCCAATCTGTTAACTTTACTGGGAATTACTTCCCTTTCACCACCCATTTTCTCCTGAAATCTCCACTGTGGACCTCCACCAGTACTCTGGACCTGCCCTATGCATTGTCCAGATGTGGTCCTATTATTATTCCTCCCCATGGGATGGGATTTATGGGTGAGTGTCATGCTTCTCTCAGAGAAACATCTCTACTGGAGAGCTTTGATTGTTGGGGAAGCTTCTGGACTGGGTCTGGGAGCCTTATGGCTCCCCTTGCACCCTTCCAGGGTTGAAAGGCCTATAAGGGAGTGAGTGCAGTATGTGTCATTCCTCCAAGCACCTCCATAGGGAATASCTATTCAGAGCCCACCCCAAAGGCCTGCTTACACGCTCCAGAGATCCCTGTTCTGGATTTCCATAGCTTGTGTAATCTGAATTTGTTTTGAATGCGGGGACACTTTTCTTGATGACTCCATGCCCTGGAGAGCCTGAGGAGATGGTCCTGAAAGTCTGTGTTAGGTATCATCTGGGAGGAACAAGGAAGCAGAAGAACCCAGCAGAGAAGGAGAAACAGCCCAAGCCCCTGTTTTCCTGTGTTGGATCCAGCTTTGAGGTCTTCTCTGCTTAATGGCAGTTGGCCTCTATAGACTAGTCTACCACACCCCATATATCCGAAGCTGGCCCCCAGACAAGCTTCTTTAAAGAATCTCTGGAAGGGCCTCTGCAAGGCATGATAAGCATGAGCTTTGTCCCTGCCAAGTGCCTCCTGGTGAGGGAGGCAGACTCTTCCACGGGAGCAGTCACCTCAACTTTCCCTAGAACCCCACCCCACCTCCTGCTTGGCATGGGGGAGACTGCTATGAGTAAGTGGGTTCAAACAACAACTTCCTTCTGGGCCAGACTTATGCTGTACCTTCTCTTCCCTCTTTCTCAGCATCTACCCATCCTCTCCACAGGCTGGGATCCCCGTTAAGGGAAGCAGACCACAGCCCCATCCTGGAAGCCCTGGACCTGGTGTCTATGGGGAGAGTTTGTTGGGGTATGGAAGGATTCCCAGCTAGGGTCTCCTAGGAAGGGTCTGGGAGCTGGCTGAGGCTAAAGGTGACTGGCTCATAATGACCCTGACACCCCTATCAGGGATATTCCTGTTCTGGGCAGCTACCTTGGGAATCCTGATATGTGTTCGGCACTTCATTGCTTCTAAAATGCTGCTCCATTTTAACTCAAGGTTAAGTTGCTGCTAACATTCCCTTTTTCTGAAGTAGGATACTGAGAGAGAGATTCAATCACATGCCCCCAAATCACCTGAGCAGCTAGTAAATGGTAGAGTTAGGATTCCCATACAGCTTTTTCAGCTCCAAAAGGCCATTATCCCTTTACCCACATGTAAACCTTGACTTGGGCTGGAAGAACCTGTGACTGTAGGGAAGCTGGGCATGGAGGGTGAGACCCAGTAGGCCAGACTCAGGCTGGCCTGGGTGGGGCAGTTCTGTGAGGTGCTATTGCTGCCTCTCCCAGCCCTTCCACTGTCTGGCCCATGGTCCAAGTGGCCAAGGCAGCCAGGGAACCCAATGTCCATGGTGCCCTCACCTGAACCCGAGCCTCGGTCAGGTCTGTGCGCAGAGCCAGCTGCTCCCGAGCGTACACATCAGGGTAGTGGGTTTTCTGGAAGACCTTCTCCAACTCCTCCAGCTGGAATGTGCTGAAGGTTGTGCGGTTACGGCGCTTCTTGCTCTTGTTCTTGGCTAACTCCATGGAGTCAGGGAGTCCCGGGGAAATAGGGACACGAAGACTGGCCAGGCAGGGGCCTGGGGATCCTTGCAAGTTAGCGGGCCCGTCTCTGGGGCCCCCTTGGCAGTCCAAGGGCAGCTGGGGGAAGCTGGCGGCTTTGGAAGCTGTCTCCTCAGCTGCAATGGAAACRTAGAAAGGAGGATGGAAACAGAACCGGGGGTTTTGTGGGTGGAATGGAGGGAGGGGAAGAACACTGACGCTCCAGTCTCCGCCTCCTCCTGCCTTTCCCTTCCCTGCCCTTCCTCCCAGCAGCCACCCTCCATGGGAGCCTGGCATTCAGAGGCCTGCCTGCTGAGCCTCYAGCTGGGGAGGGGGCCCTAGGGAACCATGTGCTCTGTGGTCTGGGCGGATCTGCTGGGGCCAGAGGGGGGTTCATTTCGGGGAAGTGCTCTGTGGTGGTGCATCCCACAGGGTGTGGAGGTGCCAGGATTGGCGCCATAGYGGGGACTGCCACCCTGGCAGGGCCAAGAATGGAGGTGGGAGTGAGGACAGGGTGGTTGACATCTCCCATCCCTGCCAGGAAGGTCTCCCTTGCTCCTGACTCTGCAGGTCTTGGTTCCCACACCCTTATGCTCACGTGTCAGCTTCCAGGATCAGATGGCAGTGCRTGGAGATGCCCAGACCACCTTTAATTGGGCTGTCTGGGTCTCATTCTCTGAACCCCAAGTCTCAGGTCAACATCAAATACCCCAGCTTTGCTATGTGAAGGACAAGATGGGACAAAGAAGCTTCCAGGGAAGTCGCCTCTTTCCCCTAAAGTTGTCTGGACAAGGACTTAAGCTCCAACAATGGGGAGATGGAGGCCAGATAGGCTATACTTGGAGAAGGGGAGATGGGGGAACCAGTGTTGAAATGGGGCACAGGCCCCTTTCTGTGTCTCTCTCGTCAGGCCTACTCCTCCCTCCTCAGGAGTTTCTGACTGCTCCCTATTTGCCTGTGATTAACAAACAGGGAGGGCTCGATTGCAGACTGGGCACAGTTCCCAGCAGCCCCACTCTGACGTGCTAACCCTCACTCAGGAAACTTGTCAGAGCCCCACCATGACTGACCAACAGGGCATGGTGAAAAATAGGTCACCCTGATCGCTCCCGTCCTCTCCCTCTGGCAAGGACCCCCAGCAGTGTCCCCATGAAATCCCTCCTCCACAGTCCACTGGGATGACAACCACGACGCCACAAAGACGCTCCACTGACTCATACCAACCCTTCCCTGGCCCAGGCCCATCTCCAGTGGGGGCCTGGCTCTCAGGAGGCCCAGTTAGCTGGCACCAAAATGTAAGTTTCTTCCTGAGGATTGGTGATGGGGTCACGGCTGCAGTTATGGGGGGATATAACCAGAGAGACAGGCTTCTCAGGATCTGGGTCAAAGGAGTCCCTTATCTGCAAGGTGGAGCACAAGTTCCGGAAGGTCATCAGTGAATTCTCATGACCACCCAGGCTCTGTAATAAGCTCCCCATGTATGTCCTGGAGGCCTGGGACAGTCAGACAGTGCTTGGCCTCTGGTTATGCCTAGACTGCAGGGATAGCTCAGACACCAGTACTCCTTCACAACCCAGGTGTAACCCAGGGGAAGAAATGTTCCACTCTTGGAAAACATAGTTTGGCTCTAGGGGTGGTTTCATTTGGTAGAAGTTTAGGAAGGAGAACTCACAGAAGTTAAATCTAATAATTGAAAATGGTCAGGGAAAGCAGGGAAACTAGAAAGGGGACACCCCTCATATGGTAGTTCCTCAAAATGACCTGAAAGGGAAAAGTCTTGGCTTCTTGGGTTCTCAGGGAGGCTATGTTTGACTCTAGGCAGGAAAGGAGTGACAGTAGGTCAGAGTAGGAGTTCCCAGAGGACTGGTAACACTGTGGAGAGCGCCGCAAAGTCCTGGGGTTTGCTCATCTGTCTCTTGCACCCTTGGTTGTCTGTCTAATAGGACCTACCCAGAGAAAATGATCAGATCTGGGGTCCTGGGACTTGCTTTCCTGATCTTGAGCCACCCAGCTGTTAGGGTCAAGGGATGAAAGTGCAGAAGGATTTTTTTTAGAACAGCTACTCCAAGAAAGAGCCCAAGCCAGCTAGCCTCTCACACACCTCCCATTCCTGCCCGGTCTACAGCCCTCTCCAAGGCCAACAAACTACTCTCTTCTCACCTCCTTGATCTGCTGAGAGGATTCCAGGGAGAGCAAGTATCTCCCTTCTTTGGGACACAGGGTGGCTTCTCAGAGAACACTGAGCAGCCTCCTGAGGAGCAAGGTCCAGGAGAGAACACATTAAAATAGGATAAATGTCCAGGCACATGCCTGTAATTCCAGCTATTGGGGAGGCCTAGGAAGGAGAATTGCAAGTCTGAGGCCAGTCTGGGTGACTGAGGGAGACCTTGTCTCTATTAATAAATAAGGCTGGGGATGCAGTTCAGTATTAGAGCACCCTGGATTCAATCCCCAGTACAGAAAGAAAGAAAGAGAGAGAGAGAAAAACAGAAAGAAATGGAAGGCAACAGTCATGAAAAGGCCACCCAGGAATGAAAGCCAGCAATTTGAGTCTAAACTTTTCAGGAAAGGCTGCTCTGTTAAGGGAACATATCTGAGGTGTGTGTAGGAGACACTGCACCTGGTCCAGACAGTGGATGGCAGAGAGAGAGTACTCATATTGTATGGACACTGGGAGCCTAGGCTCAATACCCACAGTGTCCTCTGCCTCCACAACCTCAGAACCACACACACAATTTGTCCAGAGTAAAAGCCAGGAGCCAGGATGAACTGGGGAACATACCAACCAAAGTTCTCTGTCCCTGACYCTGGACCTGGACCTCACACCTGCCACACACCACAGCCCACTAGGTGCTCCCTTCAAGCCCCCAGGCTGCACAGAAACTGCACCTCTCTAGGCTGCCTACTGATAGCCCCGGTGTTGTCTGATGCAGCAGGGCAGCAGCGGCAGGACCAAACACCTCTTGCTGAACCTTTGCTCTGCAGTGCGCTGTTTCCTGTCGCCGTGCTGGGGTCTAAGCGATTSGGAAGTTTTCTGAGACCTGGGTACCCGTAACTCTGGCGGATACTGGAGTGGACATAAACGCAGGACCCCTGAAGGGGCTTTGGTACTCTCCCTAGGAGAGGTCCTCTGCCTTGGCTTAGAAGCCTCAGCCTGGGACTAAGGATTGGGGACGTTCATTCACGTCCAAGACGGGCCTCGGGGACTCAGCCTAGGTGGGGTGAGTCCAGCAGGAGTCTTCGCCTGAGGGCGAGTTCCGAGGTCAGGAAACCAGGCCTGGGGACAGATTAAAAAGGAACAAGAAGAAACTGCTGATCACTTTCCCAGTYCTCAGAACATCCAGGAGCAGAAGGCGCTAGCGTGTCACCGCTAGGACACAGCCAGGGTCCAGAGCAGAGCTGGGAGTTCTCTGAAAAGGGCAGCCTGAGACCGTCAGGGCGAGGGTGCAAGGCGAGGGCTCTGCTCSGTGCACAAGGCTCCCAAGAGCGCAAATGTGTGGCCTCGGCAAAGATCGCACCGCAGATGGGGCACAGCTGCTGCGCTCACTGGTCTGAACTGGAAACGCTCCGAGCCCAGTATTTTAAAAGCAGGGAAATAAGGCAGTATCCCCCTTCGCCCGCCAGTTCGCACCAAGTAGGCTGCGTGGCCTGAGTCCCTTTGGCTATCCCTTCCCAGCAACCGCGCCAAGGTCCTCTCTGCTGCAGCGCCGCCAGAGAGCTTGACCAAGCAAGACTCCTGGGGAGGTGAGCAGCGGCCAGGGTCTCCTCCCAGGCTCCTCTCTCACCACAGCGCCTTCTTTTCGTTTGGCCTGTCCTCCGCTCATCTTGAATTGTTAGTTTTCTATCCCACTTGTTCCCATGTTGTTAGGCTCTATGYTTTCTGGATGTCTCGTTTTCTTTCGTTTTATCTGTTCTCCCTCTCTCCGTCTTTTCCCTCTTTCTCATTTACCCGCTTGGTTCGATCTTCCGCTTGCTTCTTTTTTCGTTCGTTCGTTCGTTCATTTATTCCTTTCGGTTCTTCTGCCCAGTTCGCCGTCGACCGTTTCTCTCTCCTCGCCGCCCTCTTCCGTTGTTTTGTTCAGTTCTCCCCTCCTCCTCCTTTTTAGTTGTTTACACTATGGGGCTTTCTCCGCAATTCGTTCGTTGTCAACGCATCCTTGCCGTCGGATGATCCCAGGCTGCTGGCTTCCTCCCAGCCGTTTATTCCGCCTTAGCGTTCCCCGCAGTGAGCTCAGCTCCGGGGCTGTCCAGGCACCCGGACGGTCTTGGCAGGCTGCAGCGCAAACAGCGCGACGCGGGCGAGAGAGTGGGTCCTGCTGGATGCGGGCGCGCTGAGCCAGGCCGGGTACCTGTCCCTGGCGGTGCTCTCGACACTGCGCGGCCGCCGCCGTCTGGCAGGGATCAGAGGAGCCAGACCAACTGCTTCTCATTAAGTCCCAACTGTGGTTTTTATCAGTAGAACCTCTTTCAAAGTGCCCAGACACGAAGCTCCGCGGACTCGCTCATTTCCTCCACTGACCCCCACACACCTCCCCGCCCTCCCCTACACACTCCTACCGCCCAGGCTGGACTAAGGCCCGAATTGTCCAGCCACTCGGGAGAGGGCCTGGAAGCGCCAGCACGGCAGGGCGGTTGCGGGATGGGCGGATCTCTGAGGATCCAGCTCTGGGCCTCAGCTGCGGGATGTGGCAGCAAAGATGAGGTGGGCGTGAGCGCAGAGTCTCGCAGGTCAGCGGGTGTAGTGGGCGGCGGCGGGGCGGCGGACCAGTTCAGACACGTTCCTGGATGGTGGTCCGGCCCAGTGGGCCTTAGCCCAGGAGCCCGAGGAGCGCAGGGTTTAGGCTCGCCCAGGGCTGTTCCCGACGGCCCAACGGTGGGGATCCTGTGCGGGGACGCCAAGGTGAGAAGACGACCATCACCGTGCAAAACGATGGGGAGGCCAGGTTAGTCTGAGAAATAAGGACTTAATTATTCTGTCTTGAGATGGTGCCCGCACTGTGGGACCAGCTATGGCCACTCCACCGAACGCCGAATTCATAGGCAGCGCCCTTCCTGCTGAGGGTGGGCCGGGGGAGAAAAGGCCAGCAAGGTCAGGCCACAAATCCTCGGCTGAGACCCGCTTGGCCACTCCAGGTCGAGGCCCAGCCTYTGCGTCCTCAACGGGAGCCAGACACAAAAGCCAGCGTCGGGGCTCAGTGGTTCCCGGACCCTCGGCCCAGCCCTCGCTTCTGGGTCGGTGGCAGTTCCAGCACAACTCCGGCCAAATATAATCTTTCCTTCCTGCCATCGGGCCCGACTCGGCCTCGGAGCCGTCGCCGCTCCACTCTCCTTGACCTTCCGCCTCCCATTCCCGCCGCCGGGGCCACCGGGGCCCTTGCCTCCCACACTGCACTGGCCTTTGCCTAGCCCGGGCCAGGGGYAATCTGGCTTCCGAGGGAGCCGTGGCCAAAGGCGAAAGGGGCAAAAAGTTGAGAAATAAGCAAGCGGGAAGGAGAAGCGGGGAGGCCCAGGCGGGCCAGGGTAGGGAAGGAGAGAGGGTCGGGCTGCGCGCTACCCGCCGCGCCGCGCGTTACCTTCCGCTGGGCCCTCGTAGAAGTGGCCGCCGTTGGGCGCCGGGCCGGGCCCGAGGTCCTGCAGGTACTTGGCGGGCGGCTTGGCTGGCTCTGGGAGGTAGGGCTCCAGGGGCCCGCAGGCCGGAAAGCGGGTCAGCCGCGGGCCGCAGGGCGGCGCGGGCTGCAGGTGAGGCGCCACGGCTGGAGTCCCCTGGGGACCTGGAGAATCGTCTCCTGCGGGCCCGTAGGGACCGGGTGCGGGCCCCACGCCGAAAGGCGTGCAGCGCTCAGGGTCCATGCCGGTTCGGGGCTCACAGGCCGCCGGGGCTCGCGCTACCCGAGCGGCCTGTGAGCTCCCGCCAAGGGGGAGGGACCTGGGCTCGGGGGCGCGGAGCCCCCGGGAGCGGCGCGCGCCGCGGGGGGCGAGGGGGGGTACAGAGGAGGGGGCCGCTCCTCTGACTTAATGCTGGAACTATCCACGTCACGTGCGGAACCGCGCGGTTTAACCCCTCGGAGCCCGGGAACCCCCCTGATTCACCCCAAGCCCAGTGTCCCAAGCAGTTGGAGGAGAGGAGAAGGAAGGCTGCTTCCTTTCGAGGTCAGAATCCTTTTTGTCTACCTCTCTGGGTGAGTCCCTCGCTCAGAGCTGCACCCTTGGTCCTGATATCCCTCCTATCGGGGCGAGGGGGGGTACAGAGGAGGGGGCCGCTCCTCTGACTTAATGCTGGAACTATCCACGTCACGTGCGGCACCGCGCGGTTTAACCCCTCGGAGCCCGGGAACCCCCCTGATTCACCCCAAGCCCAGTGTCCCAAGCAGTTGGAGGAGAGGAGAAGGAAGGCTGCTTCCTTTCGAGGTCAGAATCCTTTTTGTCTACCTCTCTGGGTGAGTCCCTCGCTCAGAGCTGCACCCTTGGTCCTGATATCCCTCCTATCGGGGCTCTTGTTCGCGAAGGGATGAGAGACTGTAGGGGCAGACCCCGATCCCAATAAACTCCCTTAGGCCTAGTCTCCTGCTTGCTTGGGAGGAGAGAGAGCCTGGTGCAGGGGTGAGCTGCCCCTTACCTAGCTCTTTTTAAACTGGGAGCTGGATAAAGGTCCCTCCCAGAGCAGCACATTTCCCTTAGGGACCTCTTAGGGACAGAAGTCATTGGGGTCATTGTGTGGAAAGAGCTGTAAACTGTGAGTGGGGCTTGGGAAGCGTGGGCCTGCATACTGTCACTAATCAGCTGTGCAGCTGTGAACCAGTCTCCATGTCCACGTCTGACTGTAGAAATGGACAGAATAAGTCCCAGAATCTTTCTGTATATTCCTGGTGAGTTTCAGAGCAGAGGGCTGGAGAAGACAAGAGAGGCTCCCAGGTGCAGCTCAGGATTGAACAGGGTCTGGCAGAGGCAGCTTTTGGAGCAGGTGGAGGAACTGAAAAACTGCTGTTCCCCTCAGCAATAGGCAGAGTGAGTGACTTTCAGAGTGTCTGGGAACTCACTGGAGAAAGGCTRTCACCAGCTCAGACCCCAGGGCTCTGACATCTAGGCCTGTCATCATGGAGGAGTCAGGGTAGAAACCCATTTCCTGAGATTTGGGTATCTCCAGTCAAAATGAAGCATTGGATTAGGGCAGTAGCTTGGCTTTTTTCCTTCTCTTACAGTTCCTCCCACTGAGGTGCACTTTGCTGCTGACCTACACCCCCAACCCTTAATTTATTTTATTTTTTTGAGACAAGGTCTCACTAAGTTGCCCAGGAAACTGGAGGAAACTTGAACATGTGATCCTCCTGCCTCAGCCTCCTGAGTCACTGGGCTTGTGGTATATACCACCATGCTCCAACAGAGTTTAGCATTTCTGAAAAGAGAAATGACCTCTACCCTATCTAAGATTTGGGAAGAAATACCAAAAGGCCTTAGGACCTATATCACTGCCCGTGGATTGAGGAACCCTAGGTCTGGGTTAAATCATTTATATTTCTAGTGCCCCAGAGACTAGCGAGAGAGGGGTGGGGAGTTAGACATCATTTGTATTTCATTTGAATTCTCAATTTTTAAAGGAATCCAAGAGGCCTGGTGTGAACACCTCCCTCTTCCGTTGGAGGCTTAGAGGGGGTTTCTTGGCTGTCCTCAGCCAGAGTTGGGCTGTAAATCAAGGCCAAACAGGAACCAGAAGCCTTGCATCTCACAAGGAGTCATTAAGCCATTATTAAACATACCATAACTTCTCTGAAGCCTTATTGGTTTAAACACCACATTGGAGGCATTATGGCCATTAGGGCCCCTAATCACAGACTGCAGACTGGGCAGAGAAATGGGAGCACCTGGGGCTAGTATTTCCCAGCCTACAGGAAGGCTGAGCTCAAAGTTAGTTTTTCCTCTAGCCTTACCAGGGGGATCCATTCTCCAGAGTCCAGTGGACCCTAGCTTTGGCAACCAACTTTCATTCATAATAAATAAGGTTTTTCAATAATTGTTAATTGGATGTTACTGACTTTCGGAGGAGAATGTGTAATTCACCACACCTATTCAATAAAGCTATCAAGCAGCTAATTAGGAGGATGCAAGTATGAGATGGAAAGATGTCACCAACACATCAAAACAAGTCAGTCTGGATTAAATAGCATATTTTTCCTCAAATGATAATCTTTCTGAATCTTTTCTTCAATCATAAAAATGGGCCATACGTGTGGACATGAGGTATTTGAGAAGCACTCATGTTTTGATGTCCTGTGTTAAGAGATGATGACAATGATGATTTAAACGGGAGCCAGATATCTGGATTCCATCACTGAATTGGTGGAAAGTCCTGACTCCAGATTGAATGGTCCTGAGGCTGCAGCTGAGCAGAGAGATTCAGCTCTGCTTTCCCAGGGACCCACACCCCTTTCCAAGCCTAGAAGTTCTTCCCGGCATGCCCTCACTCTTGGGACAGAAGTAATTTCCACTTGGAGGTGTGACCAATTTAAATAAGGAGACAGGATGGCCCAGATTATGTTCAAGTCTGGTGAGTTTGTGGAGTTGCCCCTCCTGTGAGGGTTCTCCCAGGATCATGCAAATGGAGACTCTCCAGCTCTCCTTTTTTAACATGGGTGCAAACTTGTATCTTCATCTGTCTCTGGTCTGGGGGAATTTGATGGAACAGGTGCATAGAAAACACAAAAGTAGAACTCCAAGTTATTAAACTTTCCTCCTTAGGCAGTTTGGGAGATCATGGGGTATGCAGAGATTCTTATTTTATAAGTACGTATACTTAAACGTTTACTTATACTGTGTCAGAAATTATTTCATGTACTCTGCATACAGTTGACTTATTTAACCTTCACAACAACCCCACAAAGTAGGCACAAATATTATCCTTGTTTTGCAGAGAAAGAACCTGAGGTCACAGTAGAGAGCCATATATTCAGGGTGGACAAAGCCAGTTTTTTCTTTGGTGGGGGGGAGGGAGTGCCAGGAATTGAACTTAGGGGCACTCGAACACTGAGGCACATTCCCAGCTCTATATCATATTTTATTTAGAGACAGGGTCTCACTGAGTTGCTTAGCATCTCACTTTTGCTGAGGCTGGCTTTAAACTTGTGATCCTCTTGCCTCAGCCTCCTAAGCCACTGGGATTACAGGTGAGTGCCACTGTACCCAGCCAAAGCCAGTTTTTACACTCAACTCCATGGTCCCCCCACTCTACATGACTCTCTCAAGCCCTCCTGCAGCCAACATAACAAAGTTAGAATCATTCATTGTGCACCCTTGTTATCCCAATGGGAAGGCTGGACTTCTCAAAAGGGAGGTTGAGGCTTGAATAGCTGCAGACAGAGTTGGTTTGAGTCAAGTGGCCCTGAGTGGTTTTGCAACCAACTCAGATGTGGAGCAGAGTTTTAAGAAAATTTGTGAGTTTACCATTCATGCTATTTAATAACCAGTTCAATTGTAGCATTTGTCACTGCTGTTATCCACAGGGTAATAGATGAGCTGATATGATAGATGATCCAGATAATTCTAGGTCCAGTAATAAGAAAAACTTATTTTTTTTTTCATCTGCTGGGAAACACTACTTTTTAGATGGAAATAATACTTATTGTAATTCCTTCACTTAATAGGTGGACCTGCTGGTGACAGGCATTTGGTACCAGAATACAGCAGAGAGCAAGACAGATGTGATCCCTGCCTGCATGGTGCTTACACTTTCTGAAATGCAAATGTCTCATCTACATTGAAGCAAACTGTCGCTTGGAGGTGGATTAGGATGGAATCTGTCTTGAGAGTAGAGTTCCTGGCCCCTGGCTCAAGTATAAGGTCAGTTCTTTAATTAAGGATCATAAGTTCCAGCTACTTCTTTCCCTTTCATTTTCTACTTCCCTCAGAGTTCACCACATGAAGGACAATGCCCTCCTTCTTCTCCCAGTGGATATCCAGGGAGCCTGGAATACTGGGAGAAATGTAAGCTCAGGTCTGAGATTTGCTTCACATATGCAGAACTTCTAGACAGGAAAAACTCAGTTGCTTTTTTTTTTTTTTTTTCTTTTTCTCCAAAGTAAAGACAGTCAACATTACCCTTATCCTGTTTAGACACCAAAATCCTAAATTGATCCCTATGAAAATTCTGGGTTTGGGAGCCCAAGTAGATTGTTTCTCATTAGTGACATTCTTCCTGGAAGGTCAAGCTAAGGAATGGTAAATAAACCTTCAGATCCGGTATTTCCTCCTCATCCATGATATTTTTAAAAGAGGTTTGTGCTGTGGATACCTAGGATCCTTGCCTGGGATTCTAACAATCCAGGCTGAAGTCTGTGCTTTGGGGTGAAATTGCTGGGAGGTTGGAGAGCTAATTTTCCTCTTCGTTGGTTTGCTATATTTCAATGGGAAAGCCACTTTAGCCTACCTGTGCCTCAGTTTCTCCACTAAGAAACTAGGAGGAATGATTCTGTAGTGTGGTTTACTAGACTGAATGATTGAGTGTTTATACAGATGTTTCTTGAGCCTGAATCCTCACTTGGTTGGGATGGAATGGGAGGAGGGGAGCAGAGAGGTGGAGCTATGTCTGTGATGTGGCAGTGTCCAGAGGGCCTGATTGTCCTGTTATCTGACTTACTGCCTTTGAGTAAAGGTAAATGGATTCTGAGGCAAATGCCTGCATGGATCATGGAGTCATTTTGTGGAGGAGTTTTTGATGAACTTGTTCTTGGTGTAAAACAGAAAGGGCAGGTTTAGGCTTCTGGGCAGTTGAATACTTTGGTTAATTAATTTGATGAATTTATGTGCTCATCGAGCCATTCTTGAATACCTGCCATGTGCCAGACAGCAGGACTGCGTGGAGGACAGAGCCAGAGATAGGACGGCTTACTCTCAGGGCTTTTCCAGACTGGCAGGAGAGAGACACAAAGCAACA